AACATCGAATTATGTTATTTTGTGTGGGTTTTTGTTTTCTTTTATTTGTTTTTTGTCATTTTTTATGGTATTGGAATTTTTTGGTCCTGTTTTCAACTATAATCTTAACAACAAATAAAATGTAATTAATTTTAACAATAATTTTTTTTATTTTTTGGTTGAAATTTTATAAAAATGAAATTTCAAGCCAGGAGCCATTGTCTGCTTGGAAAGCATTATCCACAGCCTTTGGCCTATACTAATTCTTGTAATTTCCCCTTTTGATGGAAAATATCTACAAAGAAACGAACAGTAAATCAACAGAAACAAAAGATGTCGAAATTTAAAATAAAATACTCGTAACAGGCTTCCATACTTTATTTTTTAAGCGGAAGTTTGTCCAAAGTGAGGCTTTTCTATTCTTAGGCCATAACACAGAGATTTTTAACAGACGATAGCATTAAAACAGTAAGTGTTGTTTTCAGGCTTAGGAGATAGGGTTTTAGAGTGAATTTTTTGGCATTATGAGAAAAGGGCGTGATTTGAATAGATAAAAAGAAAAATAAAATCTTACCTCTCTAAATGGCATAATTTTCGATCTTTTTGGCTTTATTATACACTTTTAACATCTGATGATAATTTTAGGATAAGAGTTCCAAAAAAACTAGAGGTACTGTGAGCGATGAGCTCACTAAATGATACCCCCCGCCTCCCATATGGTTATAACTGGTGAAAAAGTCCATGTTTTCCTGTGGCCGGGAAATCTAAAATATGAGTCGGATCAAAAAGTAAAATAGGAGGTGCACAATGGCAATATGTCATAAAGATTCTGTGAAAGTTGCATCAAATTTCATTCAGTGGTATGAGAGGAGTTGCGGATAAGAGATGGATACCCCAAAGCGTTACAGACGGACGGACGGACAGACGGAAGGACGTTCGGACAGACGGACGGACGGACAGACGTACAGACGGACGGAATTAACGATTACTATATACCCTTCCGCTTTTCAAGCGGGGGGTATAATTAGGAAAGGTTTTCTGATTTATTGTGAAAAACATTAGCCTATCGAAATTAGGATACTATCGAAAATGGGTAACGTCACAATATTCGGAGTTTATAGAACACGTTTCATATCCTGTTCTGACAAAGCAAGTTGGAATGCTAGCTGGAAAACTTTATTTAGTAAAATTAGAAGATTGAAGCATCCTCAGTTAGTGAAGATTCATGTTTGTTCAAATCATGACCAGGGCGGGGCCACAATGGCTGATATAAAAGTTTTGCATAGGAATACCTAGGTAAAATCTTTTAAAGTCTTTTTCTCAAGATCAGCAAGTTTGTTCATATCATGACCCCTGGGGTTAAGGTGGGGCCATGATGGGCAATCAAATCTTTACATGAAAATATGTATGGCGAAATTATATACATGTATGTATGCTTTATCGATATACTAGTAGTGACATTCTCAAGTAATAAAAGATACAACCCCCTCCCCCAACAAGCAAACTTTTTAGTATTTAGCTGATTTGCGTTTCCTAATTAGCCCATGTGCTCAGGTGAGCGATGTGGCCCTTGGGCCTCTTGTATAAAATATCATACAGTAGTGTCAGTATCTGTCTTCTGGCAAACCTTTTTACAATGAATTCCTACAGTATCTCTTAGAATTCTTAGAATTGTCAATATGAATATTGAATAACAAAAACACTAACAACAGTATAAACTAGAGGTACTGTGAGCAATGAGCTCACTAAATGATTTCCCCGCCTCCCATATAGAGAAAATGGCAGTGTCCATGTTTTGCTCTGGAAAATCCAAAATATGTGTCGGATCAAAACGTAAAATACGAGGTGCACAATGGCAATATGTAATAAAGATTCTGTGAAAGTTTCATCAAATTTCATTCAGTGGTATGAGAGGAGTTGCGGATAAGAGATGGGTACCCCAAATCGTAACAGACGGACGGACAGACGAACACACATTTGGTTATATATTGGGTACATCAAGTCCAAGTCCTATTGGATACTGCTTATTGGATACAAAAAAAGTGTACACACGAGAGAGCATTATTTGGGTAGTTACTGTTCAAATCTTATTGGATATTAATCCTCGTGTCCGTATTTTATTGGGTTTTTTCTTATTGTTTTTTATTCATTTCAAATTTATTATATATTTAATATTTGCTGGTAAATTAAGACAAGACTGAAAACCTTTGGTTTTGAACCCATATATTTGTCAATTTCTGTGATATAGCTCTTTTATTGTAACACCTAACTAATTTGTTCTTAGCAATAAGGATATACACCTGTATATTTCAAAATAACTAATATTAAAATATATGAATACCTTAGTGCAAAAAACTGAATTGTGAAAACACAACTCAACACATCTCAGACTCTGTTCAACCTTTCTTGAATAACATCATTAAGTATTTAAGGAGAAACATTTTTGAGTCATGACCAATTGATAATAAGCAAATGCCCATTACATGTTGGACAGAATGAAGGTATCCAACAGGCATTGGACAGGTGTCCTATACCTGTTGGGTTGTATTTTGACGAAGGGATTAAACTACCCAAGAATAATTGAACATGTGTACATTGTCCAATTCTATTTGGGTTTCTTGAATCTCCTCATCAAAATACAACCCAACAGGTAATGGACACCTGTCAAACTCCTCTTGGATATCTAAATCCCACCCAACAGGTAATGGACACTTGTCCAATTCTTCTTGGGTTTCTTGAATTGTTTCATCAGAATACCACCCAACAGGTAATGGTCATCTGTCCAACTCCTCTTGGGTATCTACATCCCACCCAACAGGCAATGGACACTTATATAATTATTGGGTTTCTTGAATCTCCTCATAAAATACAACCCAACAGGTGATGGACATCCGTCCAACTCCTCTTGGATATCTACATCCCACCCAACAGGCAATGGACACTTGTCTAATTATTGGGTTTCTTGAATTGCATCATCAAAATACAACCCAACAGGTAATGGACACCTGTCCAACTCCTCTTGGATATCTACATCTCACCCAACAGGCAATGGACACTTGTCCAGTTCTTCTTGGGTTTCTTGAATTGTTTCATCAGAATACCACCCAACAGGTAATGGCCATCTGTCCAACTCCTCTTGGGTATCTACATCCCACCCAACAGGCAATGGACACTTATATAATTATTGGGTTTCTTGAATCTCCTCATAAAATACAACTCAACAGGTAATAGACACCTGTCCAACTCCTCTTGGATATCTAAATCCCACCCAACAGGTAATGGACACTTGTCCAATTCTTCTTGGGTTTCTTGAATTGTTTCATCAGAATACCACCCAACAGGTAATGGCCATCTGTCCAACTCCTCTTGGGTATCTATATCCCACCCAACAGGCAATGGACACTTGTCTAATTCTTGGGTTTCTTGAATCTCCTCATAAAATACAACCCAGAAGGTAATGGACACCTGTCAAACTCCTCTTGGATATCTACATCCCACCCAACAGGTAATGGACACTTGTCCAATTCTTCTTGGGTTTCTTGAATTGTTTCATCAGAATACCACCCAACAGGTAATGGACATCCGTCCAACTCCTCTTGGATATCTACATCCCACCCAACAGGCAATGGACACTTGTCTAATTATTGGGTTTCTTGAATTGCATCATTAAAATACAACCCAACAGGTAATGGACACCTGTCTAACTCCTCTTGGACATCTACATCCCACCCAACAGGTAATGGACACTTGTCCAATTGTTCTTGGGTTTCTTGAATTGTTTCATCAGAATACCACCCAACAGGTGATGGACATCCGTCCAACTCTTCTTGGATATCTACATTCCACCCAACAGGCAATGGACACTTGTCTAATTCTTGGGTTTTTTGAGAATCCCCTCCTCAGAATACTACCCAACATGTAATGGACACCTGTCCCATTTCTCTTGGATATCTTCATCCCTTCAATAGTATATAAACTAAAAGGTATTGGACATTCTTCTTGGGTTACTCAAATTTTTTTTTCATAAGAAAGAAAACCCAATAGGTGTTGGACATTGGTTCAACTCTTCTTGGATATTACATCCCAACATTAGAGTAAAACCTAACAGGTGATGTTTACCTGTCCAATTCTTCTTGGGTTACCTTATGCCCTTCATTAAAATTGTCAAATTTGTCTTGAATATTTATACTCTTGCATTAGATTGCAAACCCAATAAGTATGACATTTACCTTCCCTAGTTGAATTCAAATTTATCTGCATAAGCATACATAAGTCCAAAACATATTTAATACTTTAATTCTAACATTCCACATCTCATTCAGTGTACACTTTACAAATGATAGGAAATATATAAGCATTTTGTGCCTAAACTATTTGGCTTTTAAAGAATTTTATAACCATGTTTGCAAAATTTAAATTTAAATATTGGAACTTGGAGCAAGTCATTACAGGTAGAGCAAGATGCTGAAAACCATATTGATAAATAGATCACACCCTTGATAAAATATTTGCCTTCAGTTGCTAAGATTGTGTTGAATTATATGGAAAATTTCTATAATCCTGTTTATTACAGATACATGTACAATGCATATTTTCGATGCGATAATAAAAATACTTCTGAGATGAAAAAAATGGATTAAATAGTCACCGATGTTAAAAGGTATTTCATGATCTCATTAATCTGGTTTGGAAATCACAAACTTAGTTTTGAAGCCGATAAAACAGTGTCGCACCAGAAAACTCAGTTACAAGTACAATGAATGAATTCGTTTTATCAAAACTTTAAAATAATTGATGCACTGTCTCCAAATCTTTTCGACAAATTGGGATAAAGATATTAAATCAAATCATCACTGTTATAAGTCTTAGAGCTAGAGAAAAGTCATTACATGCCCAAATTTTACATGTAAGACTTTGATCCTATATTTCAATAAATGTCAAAATGGTTTTATTTTTGTTTCTGTTCAATACTTTCTTCTTCAGGGTCTCACATGGCCTATACTGTATGATACATCCACTGACCCTGCTCTTTTATATTGCCATATGTTTATCCAGTAGCAGTGGTTATGCTCAGGCAATCTTTGAAATATTCCTCATTTCATGCATCTCCTTCAGTTCTGCCTCTGTCCATTTTATTCATTCTGCAATTAGATAAAGGCATTTCTTTGCCGTATAAAACATGTTTTTCTTGACTAGAGCAAGATCACCCTTTATGTTGATCAAACCCAACCAAGAAGTAGAAGTATATTTCTTATTCAGAAATATGTATTGATAAATAAAATGGAAGAAAAACTTAATTCTATCAACTCTTTTTTCTTCTTCTATGTCTAACTGCATCTTCATCCTACCCCCCATCCGCCATAATTTTATCAAAATGGAATCATCATTCAACACACAAAACGATGTTGCATATTAATTAGACAGTATGTTAGTTTCTGATTGTTAAGAAGGAGATTTTAAAAAGATTTTACACCTATTCCTTGCAAATTTTAGACTTCTAATGTAACACTATCAGTACATTAGGGTTACATAATCTTCAAAAACATCTCTACACTTAATGATTAAGCTTTCACATAAGTATTGTTTTTAGCCCAATGGTTCTGCTAAAGAGGATTTAAAATTTACCCTAACCTTACTAACTGCTTTGATATTATATTGACAGGGACAGAGACACACTTGACACTCAATCCCCCCTTCCTGGGGTATGCTTTGCACAAAATTTAATTAAAATTGACTATGCTGGATAGAAGTTGAAAATATGAAAAATTACAGTCAAACAGATTATGAATAACTTTCAGCACATCAGACATGAAGTAGTGATCCTTAAACAAAATACACCTACAAGATGAAGCTATTTTATTCCTTTGAAGTGATGTCTAGTATTGTTTCTTTTCCTGTATGCCACCTCTATCAGAACAAAATGTTATACATGTATTAACATAACCTATGACCGTATAGTACCCCAGTATTTAATTTACAATTAATCAAGTTCTGGAACCAACCCTCAGATGCCCTAAAAACAAATGATTCTAAACTGGCAAAGGTAAAGGGCATCTGAAGAATGTAAAATAAAATAATAGTACAAACAAGCAAACAGCTAGTGTGCATGAAAATGTTGGCAAACACTAGAAAAAATACTAAGGTACTTTCTCAAACTTAACATGAATACTAAAGAGGTTTTATGTAGCTGCATTGCACATACCAAAAGCTTTCCTGCAGTTAAAGGTTGGTTGCCTAGTAGTCATGTAGTATGTACAAGTTTTTCATTTTATCTCTTCTAATTTAAGAAGCGAAAATGTCTCTAAAAATCTTGTGGTTGGCATGAAGTATTCCTGTTCATTTTACTGATTACTTACAATTGTCCTATTTCTGAGGGTCATCTTCTGATGGGTGTGTTCTCTGCAATGTTCACAACTGAAGTTCCTGTTTGACCTGTTACATATTGAAAATCCTCAATGAACATAATTAATATGGTTTTAATTTCCATTGCAATTATTGATTACTTTTATTAAAAAAAATCTAAACCAATTTATTGTAACATAATACTTAGGAAAATATTTATGTAATATCAATGGAAAAAAGGAATCATTATCTCCAGTTAGCTTTTTGTGCTATTAAATCATAGTCATCGCTGTGCAATAAATGAAATCAAGTACTAATCCACAATTTGGTGGCAATAAAGTTACTATCCCCGAGTAAAAAGTGACAAGCCCAAATATAGAGGCAAAAATTAAAAAGTAACATTGAAAAAAAAAACATCATGAAAAAAGTCAGGGTATTAACTACAGATGATTCTTTTTAAAATTAAAGTTTAATTTAATTTCGCTAGTAAAATTTAATCATACATAAATTAATGACTTAAAAAATGAAAAAAAGATTTTACATATTCCTTTTCTGGTCATTCACTAGTTCGTCTAATTAAAACGAAGCAAAAATCATTTTGTTTTCATCTTGAATCATTTAAAGCCATATATGGCGTATATACAATGAAAATTATTAGACTAAAATTATAAGAACTTATTATTTGTATCATTACATTATATAAACATGATAAAGATAGAAATTTTCGTAAATTACAAAATCTAAGTCAATTGCGTTATAAAAATATAAATTTAATTTGGATTCTCGGAATTTTCTCCGAATTGGAAGAAAATACAAAAGGTTTAAATAACACATTACAGAGAAGATAAAATCGTATTATTAGATAAAACGAGGTGTTCTCCGTGCTCCGAATTGTATGAAATGCTTTAATTTAAATGTATTAACTATATTTCTTTACTTAATTTTGTATTTTTTAAAAATATATTTTTGATCAGTTAAAAAAACGCTACATAATTGCATGACACTTATCATTGAGCTGATTGAGTGAATGTATATAATTTAATAATGAGATATCTGTGAGGCATATATGTACAAGCAAATATTGCTATATTTAACAAAGGAAAGGGGGAATTCAAATTAGGAAATAAAAGATCGTTTTTAAGTAAATCAGTCTTGTACCTACTACCTAGTCCTTGTCTTGTAGTACTGCAAAATGGATGCAGTTGTGGAGATTTATGGATAATATGAGCATGCTGTCTGGAATATTTCCATATTAGGGAATAATTTAATAGCAAAAAAGGGTGAAAATACCGGTGGTGTTTTTCATGTATTACATGTGTATTTTAAAATTCCTAATAGCCTAAGGGGATTCCTCAGTGCAGAAAACCACTAGCCCCATCCTCAAAAATGGAAGCCCCGGGTGTAGCGCGATGCTGATTACACACCCATCATGTGAAATAGTTATAGTAGCCCTATATCAATTTCAGTATTGTTTTAAATTAATTAAAACAAATGAAAAAAGCAATAATTAAAAAAAAATCAAAATAAAGCAGACACTCAGTCAAAATCAAAGACAAAAAGAAGCACTGTTTTGACTGAAAGTTTATCAGTAATACAATGAATCTCTTAAGTTACATATCAGATGAGATAAACTTACATACAATTATTTAGTTGTTGTCAATTATGCCATTTATCATCATCTCAGCTCACTTTGCAATTGTAATACTGTCTATATGAACCGATAATTTACAGCTGATTTATGAACACACGATTGTTAAAATTTTCATTTCCCTTTCCAATATACATTGTCAGAACATACTTAGTTGGTTATGATATAAAATTAAATAATAAACACTTTCGATTTATTAAAGTTTATCTAACAATATACGATCGTTTATTAATATGTCTCGCCCTCAAGAGAGTTAAAAAGACAGAGAAAATTCAAAATACAAACAAGTGCATCTTAGGATTAATTGTTCCGATATATCTATTTTAATTTTGTGCACAATTGTTTTCAAAATTACATTAAAATCTATTTTCCTTAAACAAGAACCCAGCAATGGATGAATATTAATCGAATAAACTTACCTTTTCTCTTGTCAATCAGAAAATCTTGTTGACATTAAGTGTTTCTTAGTCGCCATATTTTTTTCCATGAAAACAAACGTTGTTATGATCAGGATCAACGGAAGTTGATTTTCGGAACACCCAAGAATTTAGAGTTCCGAATGTAAAACTGAAACAACAAAACACGGTGCGTCCGTGAAAGCAACTTTTTTGGACACTTTTTTGGACACATCGTCGTGTCCAAGTTTTGTTGGGTAATAACCTGCAAATGTTTTAAGCATATTCAGCGAGTTTCCGAGTCAGAAGAACATTCAAAATGGCGAAAACAGCGTTGATAAAATGTTTCAGAATGCTGCTGGCGTCGTTATCTGAAATAAATTTTTTTATTAAATTTCAGGTAATTCATTTATCATGTACAATCACGTAATTTCATAATGTAACAGAGAGAGAAAGAGAGAGAGAGAGAGGGAGAGAGAGAAAGAGAGAGAGAGCGAGAGAGAGAGATTAAATTACTGCCATCATTCAACAACAAGCCAACTGCAATGGTGGTCGTTGTTGTTAAACAATAAGAACCATGGCGTGGAATCAGCTTCTGTAACAAAGACAACAAACAAGAAATAAATTAGTAAAATCATTAGGTTTGATTCTTTCATACTTAGATAATGCATTGAATATAGGTATGTTTGTTTCGAAGATAGGGTTAATATTGTTTTGAAGATATGTATACTTGATTTGAAGATAGATACAAATGTCATGAATCAAGGATAGCTATACAATTTATTTAAAGACAGGTGCAATTAAATTGAACCTATCTTCAATTGTTTTGTGGGTATGTTTCATTTGGAACTATCTTCAAATTTATTGTACCTATCTTTAATTTAATTAAACCTATCTTCAAAAGAGTTGAAGATAGGTAGAATTTAATTGTACATATCTTCAATTGAATTAAATATATGTATAATTCTATCAAAGAAAGATGTAATTTGTTTACCTAGGTTTAATTATTTAGAGATAGGTATTATTTTTACACCTATCTTTAATTCATTTAGACATATCTTCAATTTAATTGTACATGTACCTATCTTTCATTCAAATGTACTTATCTTTAAATCCTTGAAGATAAATACAATTATTTGAGGATAGGTATAATTATTTGAAGATAGGTTCAAATATTTGAATAAACATGTATGTTTATTTGGTGTTCCATAAGTAACAACGATAAAATGATACTGGATGTGAATATTTCTACTTTAAAGCTAGCTATAAAATTCACTTTCTACTTCTTCTTTTGCATTATTTTTAGATTTAAAAATGCAGTTTAGACAAAATGTAGCTAATGCCAAATCACATTGGTTGTTTAAAGAAGATTGTTTCCAAAATGAGAAATATCATATTTTCAAGTTTTTTTTTAAGATTTAGATGAAAATACCAATTTTACATGATGATGAGGCATCAGATAACACGGTTTTCACAAAACATATTAATATTTTAATTTTTGAAAAAATGTTCCCCCACATCAAAAATATAATTATGGAGAACCCAATTTGAAAATAATGACAAGTATCAAATCTTATAGATTGCTGTGTTTAAAAACTAGCAATGTTCATTTTAAAAGGAACTGAGCTAGCTTTAGTGAATAAACTCTGTATGTAAGGCAGTGTTGCTGGCTACGGCCAGGAAAAAAGACAGAGACGTCTTCTCAGTTCTATTTCCGACAACTTATTGAATATTTCATGACTTGTTAAAATAGTTTATTAATTATTGGACGGATAACAATCTTCAAGGGCAACGAAAATTATTATAAAGTTACTTGTACATGTAGATACGTTTTAACTTAAAATTGTGTGTGTGTGTGTGTGTGTGAGGGCGTGTGTGGCTCCCCCATACTGGGGACCTGCTACAGATACGCAAGTCGTAAAATGGGGACATAAAAAACATTGGGGACTTGATTTAAGTCCCCAATCTTTTTTTTCGTTGAAAACGAAAAATTGACATGTCTAAATCCTAAAAATATCAAAAAAATAACGTGTCCCAGTTACGGGGTTTTATCGGACACATGATTACACAGATATCGTGTTGATTGAAGTTGCCATCTTCACTTACACATCTCTGACGTTACACACTTCTAGATTACGCATGCGCGTGTGTAAAAAAAGCGGAAGTCCAATTGTTTTGAAGCGGGATACAATAAACATGTGGAAAAGAAGACACAGAGGAAAACCTGGGCACAGAATCCTAGATTCTTTTGATAAGGATGATTTTTATGCTGGAAAACGGTATGTTATCTACTTCTTGGATAAAATATGGTGCGAGGAAACTTGCATCAAAGTATTAATTATTGAAGGGGGGAGGGGGCAGTAACGATTGCTGCATAGGCCTATCGGGTACTCAGTTGAAATGAAAAGACAGTTATTTATGTGATTTTCTTTCTTGAAATAGTACACAATTTATGCTATTCATTTCACAATGATTTAAAATTCATCAAATGTGAGGTATATTAATCGAATGTGTTTTGTATTTCATCAGCTGTTCATGTCAACATGAAATGATTTTTACTAAGTTTTAACTGAACTAAATCCAGTCCACTTTAATTGGGGAAAATGGAAATGTAGTTTGTATGTTTAAGTTTTTTTGAGCCAATAGTGAGATCGGATTGTACCCCCCCCCCCCCTTTCTTCTTGAGATCTGCAACTTTTTGTTTTTAAAGCCAAACCTAAGATCGGGTTGTACCAAACACCTCAACAACCACCTCCTTCTTCTTGTCGAGCTCAGCAACCTATTTCTGGTGTTGTTTTCTTTTCATTTTTTAAAGCAAAAAGTGAGATCGGATTTTACCCCCCCCCCCACCTTTTACTTGAGAGAGAACATACAGTGTATAGTCTATAGTTATCAATTCATCATATATTTCACTTGTCCTATAATATATAAGCATTACTTAATACAATAATATCCTATCTCAATTTTACTCAAAATGCACTTATTATCTACTGCTAAAGAGCAAGTAATTGAATATCAAACATATATTGTTTACATGTTGTTTATATTAAAGAAACTTGGACTGAAGCATCTTTTAATTTAAAAAGCTACCACATTACTTATATGACAGTATAATTCATTAAGTGACAATTATATTTTCCACATTTTTTCTTAATTATTATCATTTTACAGCATTCTTTTTAAAAAAAAAAAATCACATTTGATGTCTCTAAGGGCCTGTACATGTTATGGGCATTGGAATAAAAATGCTCAGAAAGAAAATATGGATAAAAATGTACGTCTTGAAAAAATTTTATTAATGATTTTTTTTTAAATTATATAATTATTATCCTTAAACATGTTAAAAGATATAGAATTAAACTAGAATATAAAAATCATGCAAACTTGTGTTTATTAGATTTTTTTAATCAGGTCATTATATCCTAAAGCAGGACATTATACCCCTGTCGTTTTTATTATGTCCAATAAAAAGTTTATATATTTCATTGTGCATTTTGCTACGATTCTCAATGAAGATAACAATATTTTGAATTATTATTTCCGATAAAAATGATGTTGTGTATGCACCAAAATTGACAAAAAACTATTTATTATAATCAGTCAGGACATTGTACTATAAGGGCATTATACACTTCCGGTGTAAACAGCTTACTCAGTAGGCTTGCTAACGCAAAGGGACGTAACTCGAGTTTCTCTATTTTTATGTGTCTCTGACGTCATGCACATTTTTGACATCGAGGGTGGTTGTCTTTTACGGCTTATTTCTAAATGAATATGAACGAAGTGTTCCGAATAACTATGGAACTATTTTAAGAAATGTTCCCGCTACATGCCTTTAGCTAGAAAGACCGTAAAGCACATGTTACAAGGAAAAAACCAGAGGGAGAAAGTGAACGGTAAGTGTGTTTAAACTCTCATAATGTGAAGGCACCCATCTGACTATAATATTTTAAACATTTAATGCTTCTTGTTGCTATATATAATAAAAAACAGAGAGTAAACGCAAGACAATATCTGTATTTTAACGAAAAATTAAGTGGACTGTTCATGGCCTCGTTTTCGTTCAGCAATGGCGGCTCCCATTGCAAGCATCATTTTCGCAATCATTTCAGCCTTAATTAACTTCCAAAATATTTCTTATCTGTGTAAATTGAAGTATATCTGAACTTGTTTTTCATGCTATTAAAACTGTAATAGTATAGAGTGGCTTAAATGAATATTACATGGTTTTACAAAAATGACAACAGAGAAAATTCGAAATCATGTTATACTGCATTATGCAGTCATATGTTAAATTCATGAGCCGTCAGACGATGAGTAAATTAAATGATGCGTGATTAATGGTAGGTGTTTTAAGTTGTTATATAATAATTAATAACTGCATTTACACTTGATCACTTAAAGAAAGAGCAATTGACCATTTTAATTTCACTAAAGCAGAACTCATATACATGTATTCATATAATATATATATAATGTATGTATGTATCACTATGTATATATAATTATAATGATTAAATTTTTTAACTCATTAAAGTCATTAAATCAGTTATTTTAAAGGTTTATATAGCTTATGATGTCTTGTGCTTTATTTCAGACATACTAGTAGGTACTTGGAAAAGATTTTTCATGGAACCCGAATGGTACTACAGACAACATTAATACTGTTCCCTGTTAATTTTGGAAGGTAACAATTTTTTTAAGTCTTGCTGAGTCTTTCCTGTGTATTAATTAACTTATAATAGCATCTAAATAAAAAAAAATATTTTTATTTTCAGACACTGAGCAAAACAACCAAGTAAATGTCAGAAAAGCCTGTCGACCAGACCAGCGGATCATAATAATTAATTTGTTAATTAAGAAATAAAAGTTTTTTGTTGAAAAATTCTCATTGCATCTTGTTATTTTATCATTTGACTTGAGTTTTGTACCAAAAAATTTTTTTTTCTCAGTTGTGGAAATGTGTGAAAATGAAGGTGACATTTTGCCTCTAAAAATAGAATTGTAGGCATAAAAATGGCAAACTTCAATTATTTTTAAAAAATCATGGATGTTGGAAATTTTCAA